GGGGGGAAAGAATTCACTGGAATTTAACACATAAGAAACAATAAGTTTGAGACCCTCCACCTATCATAGCCTCAGCCAATAGGCCTCTCAGGTCACCTCTGCTTCCTCTGAGGAGAAGAAATAAGTTTCTCTCTTGGTATCTCAGTTAGTTTTCAAATCTGTTTTCTGAATTTTCAAGCTAAGGTCAATGAACTGTGATAGGGAAAAAAGCAAGATCATGAAGAGAACAAAAAGGGAGAAGGCACCCTGCAAGTACCTTCTCTACCAGCAAGAAGCTGAAAGCAGCTTTTCAGGCTTCTCTTGCCTGCGTTCTCTTCTACTAACCTCCGGCTCCACACTGCTTTTCTTCCTTACAAAGGATAACTGGCAAGGCACACATGACAAAGACTAGGAGCTTGGAAGTTAAGGTAGACATGGTCTGAAATAAGGAGAAAAGTTCTGTACAACTTAAATACCTTATCAGTGACCATATGCATAGAAAAAGAGAGGTAAAAAAATATGAAATTGTTGAGTTACTATATTGTACACCTGAAACTAATGTAACATTATATTTGAACCATACTGGAATTAAAAGTAGAAAGAAAGCAAGAAAGCAAGAAAGAAAGAAAGCTAAATCAACAAAAAGTTTTCTTACTGCCTACTAGTAACAGGGTAATGCAGACATGATTTTTCAAAGGGAAAATTAATGCATCCAGTAATATCTAACTAAATCTAACTATCAGCCTGTAGACCCCACCAACTATTAGAATTCCATCTTTTTCTAAATTTAAGTATAATTGACAGAGTATCTTAGTTTCAGGTTTATATCATAATGATTAGATATTTTTACATATTTCAAAATGATCTCCACAGTAAGTGCAGTTACCATCTGTCACCAAAGTTATTATATTAGGCTGTACGTTATATCCCTGTAATTTATTGTGTAACTGGACATTTGTACCTCTTAATCCCCTTCACCTACTTCACCCACCTCCTAAATCCTCCTGTCTCTGGTAACCAACAGTTTGTTTCCTGTATCGGAGTCTGTTGCTGCTTTGTTTTGTTTGTTCCTTTGTTTTGTTTTTTAGATTCTACATATAAGTGAAATCATAATGTATTTGTCTTTCTGTCTTGATTTATCTCCCTTAACATAACACCCTCTAGATCCATCCATGTTGTCACGAATGGTAAGATTTCATTCTATTTTATGGTTGAGTCATTTTCCACGGTGCATGTATATATATACACACATACACTGTATCTTGTCGAACCATTCATCTATCAACCGAAGTCCATCCTTTAAGTGAGAAGATGTCAATTTTTTCCCAAACCCTTCCCAAAATGATCTCTGCTTAATACAAGGTTTTCCTTTATTAGTTTAACTAGGGTACGAGCAGCTTAACAAGATTAAGAGACACGGAGAGAGAAAATTAGCACAGTGACAGCCTAGAAATCAGGAGACCTGCAGGTCCCATCAAGAATTATGACACTGAATCATATCCACTCTTAATTTTTTTCATAGCCACAGATTCCTCTGAAAGCCTGATGATAACTGGAAACCCCTCTCCAAAGCAATGCGTATATGCATATATATATATATATGTGTGTATATACACACATATATATATATATACACACACACACACATTTTCCCATGTAACGTTGGGAGTGGAAGCAAGGTTCCTATAGATCAGTACATGAACTACCACACAAGAACCCTTAAACTCTCAACTTTTGATAAAAGAAACTAAATAAAACAGGTTTATGTACCAGAGCCTGCTGAAGTGACCTGGAAGTGAGAGGACTGACTTTCTGTCATTTCGCTATCCCAAGTAACAATAGCCTGACACCCTAGGGTCAGAAAGAGGGGAGAGATAACAGTGTGAAGGAAGCAAATTTAGTTAGGGAACAAATAAAAGAATGTGCATAAGGGAGAAGACTTGTTTAGAGATTCTAGCAAATTCACAGAAAATGAAAATTGGCAGTTTTGAAAAATGAGCAACGAAAGCATTGAAGTCTGGCAAGCTGGAAGTTTTCCATTTTCTGAGGGACTTCACCCAGTTCTGGTACAGTTTACTCACCAATATTGGCAGGAAAGGGTACTTCATGTACAGCTGGGTCCAGATTAATCACATAAGGTGGAGACCCTTGGCTATGCAGATGTCCCGTAAGCCTCTGCAGAGGTGATGGGGAGAGGGATGTAGTGAGACAAAGAGGGAATGATAGGGGCCAAGAGAGAACTTCCATTCCTTTATGGATGATCATACCTGAAGACTTCTGCACTTACCCTTCTCAGTACTTGAAATATTCGCCCCCAATATCCACCTCCAACATTCAACTCAGATGAAACGCTACCTTTTATCACCCACCTAACAGCCTCCCCCTACTCTCGATCACTTATCTACTTGATTTGTGTGTTTTTTTTCCAGCACTCCCACTAAAACATTAGCTCCAAAAAGCGGGAACCTAGTAAACTCAATTTCGCTGCGTCCGCGGTGGTTGAAACATGACAGCTGTGCAAGAAATAATTATTTAACAAAAAGTCCGTGTGTTGGCACTGTATTAATTAATTGCCAGTTACTCGTAAGACTGTCTTCGAGGAGCTGACAACTTTGTCGGTAAGACAATTCCAGAACGCGGTAAGTTGTACCAACCACGAACTGAGGGTGTGCAGATGAGAGCCCTAGCCCTAATTAAACCAGACTAGAGTCGAAAAGGCTAGCCTAAGAAGGAACCGGAGTTGCTGGCAAGTTCTCGAAAGCCGCACGCGGGTCCCCTCCAACTCCCTGAGACCTTCCTCCCGTTCTCCCTGGCCTTTCGCCTGCCACTGTCAACCTCTCGCGCGCACCTATTACGCCCGCGCCCTGTACGTCACCTGTACAAAGGTGGTTTTCCCAGATCCCGCCATTCCCAACACCAACAGACACACTGGGGGCCGAAGACCCCCAGAAGCCTGCGACTCAGCTTCACCTACGGGCTCCGCCATCTTTCTCCTGGCTCCGCCCACTCTACCGTAGTGACGCTACGCGCTTAGAAAGGCTTCTGTGACGCGAGGGGCAGAGATAGAGGCTAGAACCCAACCAGTGCGAAAGGGGAAGGCGATGGGGTGGGGCGGGCGCAAGCGATTCCTTCCCTCCCGGCCAGGCTGGGCGCCAAGTTGGGACAGGAGGGGGGAAATGATGGGCTCGGAGGACGGCAGGAGGTGGCCAGAAAGAGAGGCACTCACCGTTGTAGGGAAGGGCCTGGGAAGAGCAGAGTTCCTGTCCCCAAAGCGAGCCGAAATGAGGTCCCCAGAGCGGGGCCCCCGGAATTCGAAAATGAAGACAGTGCATTTCTCTTTGGACCCCCAAGGAGCGAGGAAGGGAGCCGAAAGGGAACCGGCAGCTAGGGCTTATTCGGCAACCGGCAAGGTTCAGCCGATCCAGGTTGGACCGGCCGGGGCTGTGGTGAGGTGCGACCCCCAGAGTTGCTGGGCAGCGCCGAGACCCAAGGAGCACAAAATAGAGAAATTGGGAAAACCTTCCGCAAGGGGACGCCATTTCCGCGTGGCGCAGGACCCTAGCACTACTAGCGCTGCCGCCTCGGCAGTCAACCTCTGTGAATCACACGGGGACCTTGGAGATGAACTCTTGGATTCCCAGAGCAAGTAGGTACTGAAGGGGCGCTGCCCTCGACGGAAGTGTCCATGAAACAGGAAAGGTGGTAGAAAAGCCGGGAAATTTATTGTTACTCCCGACCACCCCAACTGTGCCTGTGGCCCCCCTCGTAGCCGCTATAGTGTTCAGGAACTCCCAAGGTTGGGTTTCCCACCCACGCTCTGCCACTTGCTGGCGGTGTAAATCGTAGCCACGTCATTTAAAGTCTCTGAACCGGTTTTCTCCTCTTTAAAATGGAGGTGATACCTGACAGGGTTGTAGTGACTGTGTACTTAAATTGTAAACGACACTCATTTACCTTTACCATAAACTGTATCCCTCCTGCCGTGCATAGTGTCAGGAACATAATAGGTACGCAAAAATATTTTCTTGTATGAATTAAAGTACAATTGTGCATTTTGTATTTACTAAATTTTCATTAAGAATTGATAGGAGAGGGGCGCCTGGGTGGCTCAGTCGGTTAAGGGTCCGACTTCGGCTCAGGGCATGATCTCATGGTTCATGAGTTCAAGCCCCGCGTCCGGCTCTGTGCTGCTAGCTCAGAGCCTGGAGCCTGCCCAAGATTCTGTGTCTCCCTCTCTCTCTGTTCCTTCCCCGCTCGCACTGTCTCTCTCTCAAAAATAAATTAAAATTAAAAACAAAAAGAATTGATACGAGAATGCCTCACTTGTTCTTCCTCCAGGTTTGCCAAGGACTCTGGGAGTTCCACTGCACCGTCTGTTAGTTTAATAAATATAATTTTCAAGCCACAGATGCTAACAAAGTCAGAGACGACCTTTAAAGAAAAGACCATGACAGAGCTGAGGAAGGTGAACAGCCGAATAAAACAAACTCGAATGCAGCAAGAATCAGTAATGCAGGAAACCGAGCAGCTATACGATGAAAAGTTACTTGTCCAGACTGAAAACCAATTCTTTCTGGAATACCTAGACAAGGAAATTGAGGAGTACAGAAGGAAGCCTGAAGAGCTATGGGAACATTATTTACAAAAAAGTGAGGAGATTGAACAAAGGAGACAAGAATCAGCCTCCAGATATGCAAAACAAACCTCAGTGTTTAAAGGGGAGCTCTTGCAGAAGGAAAACCTCCAATCCAATTTAAAGCAGCAGTTGCAGGCACTGAGGGATGTTTCCCTTGTAAAGGAGAAACAGGAGAGAGAAATACAGATGTTACAGGAGAAGAAAAAGGAAGCCCAAGCTGAGATCGATGCAAAGAAATTGGAAGTCCAGCTCCAGATGGTCCAGGAAAAAGCATTACTGGAAAAACAACTGAGTGAGCCAGACCCGAGGCAGTTGGGAAAAAGAAAAAGAGAAGAGCTTGAAAGGAAGGCCCAGGCCTTGGAGGCAGGAGCAAAGCAGTATACTTTTGAGTTCTACCATGACATGAGGAGAGAGAACGAGCAGTTAAAGAAGGAATTACAGCAGCAAACTCAGCACTGCCAGGAGTTGGAGGCTATTAGGAGCTGGCTCAAAAATCAAAAGCGGCAGCTCCAGCAGGAACAGTGGTATATGGACTGCTTAGTCCGGGGGAGGAACCGACTACAGAGAAGGCATAACCCGTGCCCAGGACAGGGTGCTCCAAAGACCACAATAACACCTCTCCTAATCACCAAATCAAATATTAATCCAAAGCAATTCCCAAAACAACACTGATTATATAAGGACTGGAGTAAGAATTCTCACGTGCTATATAGACCTGGTTAGGAAGGCTTTGGGATCTGACTGCTATGGTAAAACATCCATCATGATGTGTTAGTGTGAAAGATTAGGTGTGAAAGAAAGATTTTTTTTTCCAATAGTACTGCTAGGTATTTGTGTGACTGGCATGCCTTAATTAGATTTTCCTTTAATTAATCTTGTTGATGAACAGGATGTTCCTCAAATCTCCAGATAACCTGATACCATTCCCTAAACACCTGTACTTCAAACTAGCTCAAGGAAACCACCTTGAGGAAATGAAAGGAAAAGGGTTGTGTGACTTCATTTAGCTAAATTAGATTTCTTTATATAAAAAACACCTTTTAAGAATAGCATTTCAGATTGACTTTATATAGTGCCTTCTGCTCTTTAAACAACCAATTATCCTCATGCCTCTTGACCAGCTCCACACAAAGGCAAAGTGTTTTTTAAGCTTTTTCAAGTTCACAAGCAGTGGCCAAGCACTTCCCCCAGTTTTGTCAAGAGTGAAAAAGTAAACTGCAAGTCGGAGAAGAGCTAGGAAGAAAAAAAAGCACTGGGCAGAACAACCTTTTGTCTGATGCTCTGCCCCTCAACTGGGTAAATTGAGAAGGGAAGAGCAGAAAGGGGATGTATATTCGGTCAACTACTTTTGACAGTCTTTTCTGTGAAGAAACACTTCTGGCATTAATGAGGTGACTGAATGCCTCTGCTTGTTTTAGGAAAAGATATCAAGAAAAGTGTTAAAATATTTGGAAGACTTTTTTTAAAGAGTCTTCTATATCTATTTCCCTAACATTCTAAATTCTAAGATAACAAGATCACTTAATTAAGTTAACTATAATAGGTACTTCAATTTTAGGTCACTTATTACATTTTCTTATTCTGTGTGCACTTGATAGTACATGAAATGCCTTTTGTAATTAATATGTGCCTTGTATTTATGTCTATTTAGAACTGGAAACAAGATTTTTAATTAGTACAGACGTTTAGTTTTTGAAATTTTTTTGCACTAAAAAATATAAAATAAACATTTTTTACACTTACAACTTATGATTAGACTATTTGAATGCTAAATCCTAGTACAGGGATATAACCCCATATTTTAACATCACTCCTCTATGGGGAAATATAATCCAACCTTATGTTTTCTAGAAATTGTCAGTGATAAGAAACTACAAAATAATTTTCATGAATTTTGTTTTATTCCTATGTAAAATGAACTTAAAATTGGCTTAAAAATTTTTTCTCCCTCAATGCCTTTTACCTCTAGCTTTCACAATTTTGTTAAATGTGTATGGTTATTAAAAATAAAATGTATATTAATATATCTGTTGACTTTTTTATTTTTCCAATGTAATGTATTTTCTACTCCACTCCTCTCTCTTACTACTACTTCTGCAAGTCTTATTCTTACAAATGTGCACATAACAAAACCACAATTTCAACACAGAAGAGTAATATTTTAGATAGTATGCAGGTTCCTTAACTTGAATACTTCAGTTCTTGAGCTGAAAATACAGAAAGACTCAACTTGAAAAACATGGTAACCAAGACAAATTTGAAGCCCTATTCTCTGTGGATGCAAAAAACCACAGAAAAATATATACTAAGGCTGAAAAGGGGTTGGGAAAGTAGGAGTGATCTAGAATCTTACTCTGCTGTTAATTTCCCTCCTGCCTTTACTGTTCCGATGATCAAATTGGGAAGTGGATAACTTCCATCTCCTATGTTTATTTTTAATTCCTATCATCCCAGATAACGGATCTGGTGTATTGCTTTATGGCTGTCCCTTTCAGAGTGAGGCCTCTCTTAAGGGCTTGAAGACTTTCGAGGGTGAATCATCTGATAAAGGTATTTTGAAATCCATACCTGCAAGTGAGCATAGCTTGGCCAGGTACCATGTCAGTCTACTTTTTGTCTGCTTTGCTATGAAGAAAATTAAAACAGGGTGATGTTACAGAAAGTGCACTTAGATGGAAAAGACCCCCAAGGGGAAATTTATGTTAAGACCTAAATGATTCAGTGAAGTCTACTGGACAAAAACCAGGGAAGAAGCCATTTCAGGCAACGGAACAGTGAGTGCAAAGGCCCTAAAATGGGAATGAGCTTAGCAGGCTCCAGGAAGAGAAAGGTCATTGTGGCTCAGGTGTAGCTGGGGAATGATCAGAGAATTTAGGTGGAGGGGAGGGAGAGGAAGCTAAACGGGTTAGCAGTGGGAGTGGCAGGCCCTGTGGGACAAGGAAAGGGAGTGGCTTGAATTCTAAGAGCACTGGGAAATTATCAGGCTTTTAGCCCTTGAATGAGGTCTGATTGACAATTTTAAAAACTCACTACAGCTGTTCTGGGAAGTGTAGCCAAGCCAGTAAAAATCAGCAGGAAACAATTAGGAAGCTATTGTCGTCTAGGCAAGAGGTGATGATGGTTGGAACTGGGGTGGTTGAAATAGAAAGTGAACAGGAGACAGGGGTAAGAGCAGACTACAGGGGAGAGGAAAATGAAAGGTTAAGAATGAGGCACAAATGGGGCGCCTGGGTGGCTCAGTGGGTTAAGCATCTGACTCCTGATTTCGGCTCAGGTCATGAACTCACAGTCTGGTATCTGTGCTGGAGCCTGGTTGGGATTCTCTCTCTCCCTCTCTCTCTGCCCCTCCCCCACACACTTGTGCTTCCTCTCTCTCAAATAAATAAACATTTTAAAAAAGAATGAAGCACAAGTAAAATTTCTAAAGTGATCCCTTTTAAAAAGGAGAGGAGCAATAATTTGTGAGAGCTGATTTTTCAAATGAAGTCTTTCAAAAGAAATACATAAAATGAAGTATTTCAGACACACGATATAGAAAACTACAACAAACTCACTATCCACCTTAAGAAATAAGAACTTACAAATTCACTGTAGTCCCTCTGAATCCCAGAAGCACTGTCCTAAATATGGTGTTTATCATTTCTGTGCATGCTTTCATGCTATATATACATATATATGTACATATATATATACACATATATATTAATATATATTAAACTATAAACGTACACTAAATATATATTATATAACATATACATTTCCATAAACAATATGGAATATTTTTACATGTTTTTAAACCTCACATAAATGGTACGCTTGATGTATTGTAACCTGCTTTTCCCATTTTTAAGATGTATTCATGATACAAGCCCTAGTTAATTTCACAGCTATACAGTATTCCACTGTATTTACCTCTTCTGATGATAGACAATTAAATTATATAGTAGAGTAAGCTAACAAAGAGACCCAAGCATGTATAATGTCTCAAAAAACAGATTTTTTTTTTCTCTTTAATAGTCTCAGATGTTCCTGGCTAGCAATTAGTCCTTCATGGGGTGATTCAGGGCATCAACCATTTTCCATTTTGTGCTCTACCACCCCCTAAAGCCATTTTATTATCTTCATATGGCCCGATGAAGGGAAAAGAAAGCACAGAGGTGCCCTTTCTTAAAACTTCTACCCTGGAGGTATCACACATCACTCCCATTCACATTCTACTGGAGAGAAGTTAGTTAGCTACCCTTCACTACAGGGGCAGGGGATTGGAGGGCCGGGAACATAATTTAGCCATTTGTCCTATAATCCTAGGGGTCTGCAAAGTGAGAGCAGATTTTGGCAGACAGTTAGTAGACTCTGCTACATCATTCTTGTTTATGTCTCCTGGTACACCTGGGCAAGAGGATTTTCTCTGTATATACCCAGGAGTAAAACTGTCGAGTCTTAGGGGCATATTTTCAGCTCTACTAGATACTGCCAAATTGTTTCCAAAGTAATTATACCAATTTAAATTCCAAACCGTGCATGAGAGTTCACATTCCACACAACCTGGCTATACCTGATATTGTCAAATTTGTTATTCAAATGAATTTTGTTTAAAAAACTTAAAAACTCAATAGTATGATTAGGATACTCCTGCTGAGTGAGACCTGGCCTCAGGAAGGAAAAATTTTAAAAGTGCCTGCGAGGGTCCTGGATGAGACTGGACAAGTTTTCTACACTAATTCACTTTAATCTCAAACAAATTTATTCACTAACCAGCAGACTTCAGGAGCTAAAGAACTACTAAGACACCGCATTTGGAACTTATTTCAAACCCACTCCCACGTTCAGCTGTTTTCTTACCCCCATACACTTTGTCAGCAAGGAGTCAAATAGCAGGTTGGAGTCAATGAACTGGAAACATCATTCTAACCGACAGTCATTTATTTCTTTTGTCATTGCCCAACATTCCCCAAGTCTTACTCACCAGAAATTAATATAGCTTCTTCATTTCTCCTCCCTGACAATCCTCATCTACTGAAAGGGTTTTAAGGGTGCAACTGCCAATGAAAATGTAGAGTGGACATACCATGTCCTTCACTTGTTTCACAACTATCTATTTTGGCAGTCTCCAAATCTGGTTTCAATGCTCCCGTTTGAAAGTGGTCTTCACAAAAGCCCACATTTTAAAGCTATGTGGAGCAGCACAAAATACAGAGTTAAAGAGTAGTAACAGCCTTTCAGAATTTGAAAAGGTAGTGTTTATCCATATCAGGGTTAAGGGTCCTTGCTTTTTATGTGGCATATGCCACAAAAATTGGCAAGAATATATAAGACCAATATTTATGGAAAAGGGGAAGAGAATGTGGAAACACAACAACAGAGCTGGTCTAAACAATGTTCCAGAGAAAGCCAGCCTTGAAGAGAAGTAGCCCACTAGACATTAGCAGGTAGGCATGAGGTACAGAAAAGGAATTTTTCTTTCCAACTCCAGATAAATATCTACATCTGGTGACAAAGTCTCAAGATATAAAGAGGATAGGACTCCACATATAAAAGAGGATAGAGGACAATATTCTCAGAGAATTCCAAGAGACAGAGGTTGGCTAAAGGGAGGAATAGACTTAGCACGGCATAGACTAACAGGTAAGGTCAAGTCCAGGGGAGAAGGAATGTGCACCTTGGCTGCCAGTCTTAGTGGCATTACCAGGAACACTAGGATTCTGTGTCAAAACATCAAGTGCAATGTGGTATTTCTCAATCCATAAAACTGGGGGAGAAAACAAGCTTTAGGAGGGCACTGATCATAGCAACCAATGAGGCCTCAAGCCCCAGGAAAGATGAGGCAGTATTTATTGCTTCTTCTACTTCCTTCTTTCCAATCATCTTAATGTTTGCGACATTTTAATGTTTGGGCTGCTTTTCATGCCTGTGGGTCTAGTCAGTCACTGCTACTTGGGATAAACAAAACATTTCCCAGTAAAACCAGTGTAGCGAGGTTCTAGCTTTTTCATCCTACATCCATTTTCTTACATATTGAGAGAACAAACAGCCTCCATAAAATCTGCTTCCCAAGGAGACAGGATAAGCTTTTTACATGAGTGACAACAGTTCTAGCTTCTAGGATTGTTAAATCACAAATACAAAATGGTAAATCAGTATGGTTTTAAAAAATTAATTTGGAATTGTTTTATAAGCAAGATGATGGAATGACTACTAATCAGTGGAGCTTCCAAGAACATTCTATAGCCCAGGAAGGAAAAGGACAACCAAACAGGTTTCTCAGTTTTGTACAGGGCAAGAGGGGCCCACAGTTGGCCTTAAGAGGGAGCTCTTTGGGCAAGATAAGAGAAAAACAAGAGGACTCCAATGAGGAATAGCAGGAAAACCTACCAAAAAGGGGGTGGGGGGGGTCAAAGTGAATAAATAGGGAGAACGGTGAAATTTACACAGGAGGAAGGAGCTGAGAAAGTCACAGCCTTACACAAACAGCTGAGAGAGTGCATTTCTCCTCACTCAGCCCCCGTGACTCAGTCCTCCCAGCACAGGCCCCCGTGACAATGGCGTCATGTCCGCTTTCCTAGGAGCTTTCACACTGCCTGCCTATTTCCTTCCTCGTTTATGATTAGTCTTTGGGGCCTTTACTTTCTGGAATTGTGCTGGCACTGGCTCCTGCTCCGGTTCCTTACAGGAGGTCGACACTAGCAATTCCTCGTTACTCCTCCTCTGATCCTTCCCTACTCTAAGACTCAGCTCTGCCTCAGGAAGCTCGATGCCAGGCTGCTGCAGCCTTCGCAGAGACCTTCTGCTCCTGTGCTGCTGCCTCCGCTTTTCTTCTTCTTGCTGCCGCTGCTTTATCTTCATTAGCTTTTCAAAGCTTTTGGTTGTGGTTGGGTTTACAACGAACCAGTCCTACAGAGGCAAAATGGAAAAATCATCCAGTCAATCAATACACAGTAGAGAACATAAAGAATGGGTGTGGGAAGAATCTCTAAAAGGCACGGTTAGGGCAGAACACAGTAAGGAGGAAACAGATAGGGAACCATAGCTTAGAACTCTGTACTTGAAACTGAAGAAATTCATCATGAGCAGTCATTATAAGCATTTATTGTGTAAGACATGATTTAGGGTACTTCAATAAGTGATCCACAAAGTCTGATCACTTAGCATCATCCCACTCATCTATCTCCTTTGTAAAACTCTCATGAGATATAAAGCATTGGGTCATAGGAGATTTTTACTTCATGATAGTATTTGCATGCAGCCAGACCACCTGGGTGCAAATCTCAACTCTGTTTCTGTCTCTGTGACCATGGGGAAATTACTTAATTTCTCTAAGACTCAGTTTAAAAAATTAAGAGTTAAGGAACATGGACTCCAACTATGAAATATTCTTGCAGAAAAAAAGAAAGAAAGGAAAAAAGAAAGAGAGAAAGAAAGAAAGAAAGAAAGAAAGAAAGAAAGAAAGAAAGAAAGACTTCAATCTAAATCAAGTGATCTGATCAGTCTTCTAGGTCTAACAACCAGTTTATAGGAAATACTCTGCTAGAGGACCACCACCACAGGAATGTAATCAACAAAATCCAAAATGTGCATATATGACCTTGTTTCTTCAACAAATAAATTTGGTGTGGGGGGAGAGGAAAGGGAAACTTCTAGACCTGCATTGTCCAATGAGATAGTCGCTAGCCACATGTGGCTAATGAGCTCTTGAAAAATGACTAATCCAAAATGAGATGCGCTTTCTAAATTTTTTTTTTAATGTTTTTATTTTTATTTTTGAGACAGAGAGAGACAGAGCATGAGTGGGGAAGGGGCAGAGAGAGAGGGAGACACAGAATCGGAAGCAGGCTCCAGGCTCTGAGCTGTCAGCACAGAGCCCGACGCGGGGCTCGAACCCACAGACTATGACATCGTGACCCGAGCTGAAGTTGGACGCTCAACCGACTGAGCCACTCAGGCGTCCTGTTACGCTTTCAATATATAACAAATAGACATGAAATTTCAAAGATTTAGTATGAAAAAATATAAAGTATCTCAATAATTTTTTACTGACCACATGTTCAAAAGATAGTATACTGGATTAAATAAAATATATTATCAACATTAATATCACCTGTTCTTCTTTATACTTTTGAAATGTGGTTACTAGAAAATTTTAAATTACATACATGACTCACATTACATTTCTATTGGATAGCACTCTAGATTAAAACATACAGTATATGGACCTTTTTTTATTTTTGCTCCTGATTTGAACAAGCCAACTCTGAAAAAAAATTATGAGGCAATCAGGGAAATTTAAATAATTTAAATAATAAGTAGGTATATAATGATATGCAAGAATCATTGTTAATTTTTTTTAGGTGTAATGATGGTTGCGGTCATATACTTTTAAAAGTCCCTATATTTTAGACACAGTGAAAGAAGCAGTGACAGTGACAGGGTATGTGAAATTTGTTCAAAATAAGCCTTTAAGGAGCACCTGGGTGGCACAGTCAGTTAAGTGCCTGACTATTGATTTTGGCTCAGGTCATGATCTCAAGGATGGTGGGATCAAGAGTCAGGCTCTGCTTTAACAGCTTGGAGCCTGCTTGGGTTTCTCTCTCCCTCTTGCTCTCCCTGCCCCTCCCCCGCTTGTGTGCACATGCACACTCTCTCTCAAAATAAATAAACTTAAAAAAAAAAATAAGCCTTTAAGGAACAAGAGAAGTAGGTGTGGTTATAAACGAAAACAAGATTGGCCATAAACTTGTTGGCCAATCTGTTAAAGCTATTCATATCTGTTAATGCTATTCATTACACTATTTTGTCCGTTTTCATGTATTTGAAAATTCCTGTTTAAAAAAAAAAGTAGTGTAAGAACATGCGAGGCAGAAAGGGAGGAACAGAATAAAAATGTTTTACCACCACATATAATTCATAAACACAGGCACAAATCATTGAACAAATGCCTGGGGAACAAGTCCCAAACTAAGTGAAATTTGTTGGTTCCAACTTTTTAAGAGGAAACTGGAGAAAACTGGTTAACTACATAAAGGCCAGATTTTGTCAGGAGATAATTTTTTTTTTTTAATGTTTATTTATTTATTTTTGAGACAGAGGGAGAGCACGTACACAAGCGGGGAAGAGGCAGAGAGAGAGAGGAGGACACAGAATCCGAAACAGGCTTCAGGCTCTGAGCTGTCAGTGTAGAACCTGACACGGGTCTCAAACTAAGGAACCATGAGATCATGACCTGAGCCAAAATCAACAATCAGGCACTTAACCAACTGAGCCACCCAGGGACCTCGAGATAATTATCTTTTAAGTACTTCCTGAAGCATAAAAAGGTACACTATTATTATAAAAAAAGATAGGACTGCATTCTAGAAGAAATCTCAGACATGGAAAGGGCCTCCCAAAGCTTAAACTGGTAAAACAACAAGAACAACATTTGATGACACTAACTACAGCCCACATTGTTAAAAACTATTAAATGTGAGGGCAGAGAACAGCTGAAGGTGTTTGCTATTTTTCCTTATCAGGCAACAATAGTTTCTGCAGTCAGATATTCCAAGAGAATGCACTCTACTCCTTTAGCTTTTGCAATACGGGTATTTAATTATACAGGAAACAATTTCTCTACTCACCTATATTACTAAAAACTTGCCCTAAGAGAAAAAAAAGATTCAGCTTTCTGAACTTTAAAGCATTTTTAAAAATTTTTCTTTCAAATGTTTATTTTTGAGAGAGAGAGAGATAGAAAGAGAGAGAGAGCGTGAGCAGGGGAGGGGCAGAGAGAGAGGGAGACACAGAATCTGAAGCAGGCTCCAGGCTCTAAGCTGTCAGCACAGAGCCCGACGTGGGGCCCAAACTCACAGACTGAGAGATCATGACCTAAGCCGAAGTCGGACACTCAACCAACTGAACCACCCAGGCACCCCTGAACTTTAGAACACTTTTACACAGAATTTATTTTTTAATTGTCAAAATGTACAAACCTTCAGAAAAGTTATAATAGTTCAATGAACCCTAGATTTACCATCGTTAACCTCTCTTTCCTTTCTTCCTTCTTCCATTTGCAATTTATTTTCAGGCGTATTTCATCCCTAAAAATTTCAGCATATATCTACCTAAGAACAAGGGCATTCCCCTGCAAAACAATACAATGATCACATTTGGGAACATTAACATCGACTCATTACGATTATTTAATAGAGTCGTATTCCAATGACTCCAGCTGTCTCATTAATGTCTTTCATAGTTGTTTCTTTGCGGTATTTTTTTTTTTTTTACGTTTATTTATTTTTGAGACAGAGAGAGACAGAGCATGAACGGGGGAGGGTCAGAGAGAGAGGGAGACACAGAATCTGAAACAGGCTCCAGGCTCTGAGCTGTCAGCACAGAGCCCGATGAGGGCCTCCAACTCACGGACCATGAAATCATGACCTGAGCCGAAGTCGGTCGCCCAACCGACTGAGCCACCCAGGTGCCCCTCTTTGCGGTATTTTAAACAACCTTAAAAACAGGTTGCTCCACGACATTAATTAGAATACTAGAAAACGGAAGTATGGAGAACGCTAGGAAACAAGAATTGCAAAGGTGTAAACTCAGCCTACTGCCCACATGCCTGATTTAACTGAATTTAAAAGAAGAGCTCAAGGATGCTCAGACTTATACTGACTACAAATGCTTTCATAGAAAATATAATTATGCATCTAATTTTACAAAGTATTTTAACTCCAATGTCTCCAGTAACCACTTTCAAGCTACTTTCCTTGGCAGTCCTAGCCCAACACAACACACAAATTCCACCTTTCTTGGGGGCACATGTATGGGTTCCAGGGATTACAAAAACATGATGGGAAAAGCAGGGACCTCACCTCGGCATGGACAGAGTTGATGTGATACTTGACACCACTCTCTGACACAAATTCTTTTTGACACAGAAGACACTTGTATTTTCCAGCCACAAAGTTTCCCTGTTTTCAAGAGAGAAAGAAAAGGGAATTACTGGTAAATTCAGGAACACGTACCTGGGCCGTGTGTGGGGATTGTTAGAGATGAAAAGAGGGGATTTTACTTCAGCAAAGGTAAGAAGGAAGAAAATCCAATACAGCAATATACTTGGGAAAACCAGATTTAGGCAGACTATTACCACTAGAAATCTATCCTAGTATAGTTCTATACATAATACCCCCACCGCCTCAACACAACCTAAAGTATTCCTACTTTTATTATGTAACAAATCACCCTTTTCTATCTTCCCTAGTTTCTGTCACTTCACTTCCAGATTCTCTTGGTTCCTCTTCCCACATGATCAAACTCCTGAAGTTCACCAGAGGCACCAATGTATAATTAATTCTTCCCACCATAATCCACTGCTCCAAAGAGTGCCTTGCAAATCCAGAATTAGAGGTGTATTGTCCATAATGCCTAGTTTAAGGACTCAGAAACTAAGATCATGATGACAAACTCCTAAGCACTTGTGGCCAGATCTGGGTTGGATGCCTACACTCCCTTGCTGCTTTGAACTGAGATTTCTCTTCCCTCCTGAAGCTCTGAGTGTCCATGGTGCTAATTTTGTGTGAGGAGATATTTCTGAATGGAATTAAAAAGTGGCAGCAGTCCCCATGTCTGTGAGTCAGAGGGCACCTGGGTCAACACAGAAAAGATGCAGTGAGGTGAATATCTGTTTGCCTGACACCCAGGGCTAGCGTCTACCTCCCATCCCCAGAGGCTATATAATTCACGTGGGATTAGAGGATCTTCATCATCCAGATAAGCACATGTAAACTGATTCTAGAAATTTTAAGGCCCAATAAACAGGGCAGGTCCAGGGCAGGACAGGCTCAGGTAGAAAAAGTCACCTCCCTGATATAGACTCAAAACTAATAATAATACTTTTCCTCCAACTTTTTTAATTGATAAGACTTAAGGCTATGTTGGCTTCTTCTATATCTTGGACATATCAGGACATTCAATACCATCCAATACCAGATCAAGAATCTTTAGGACATAAAAAACTAAACAAGCCTCTGAACTTAACAGTAAACAGGGTGACTAGCTGTTCGCCTAAACTGAATTCTCTTCCATGTCAGACTTTTGTTTGAGAGATCACATTAAGATAAAGCATTCAGAAAGTTACAAACCAAGGTACAAGAGCCCAGGTGAGCCTTAAGGCCTGATACACTACTGTAGACAGCCTCACAACCCTGAAAGAGAGAAGAAGAAATAATGTGAAGATTATACCAAACCTCATCCTTCTCTTAGCAATCTAGCCGTTCACACTGACCAACCCTACATTTAGAGGAAGAAGCCCAATAAATTGTACTGCAAACCAAACAGAAAAAAATTCACACACAAGCCACAAAAGGAAAAAGGAAAACCATGAAAAGGTATTTTTTTAAAAAAAGAAGGGCTTAAGATATTCCCTTCCCTGATACTTTTTCTCTGACTTTTAGAGAAACAGAAAATTGCATGGTTGGATTTTTTTTTTTTTTTTTTAATCTGCCTTCTTCAGTATAAATATGTCTCCTGTTTCTGGTAGATATCCTCCTTCCCAAAGTACTGCATATACAGCTGTGGTGGATTAAAGAAATAATGGAAATTCTCTGCCACTCTTCCCTGTAAGAAGAGGAGTCTATTCACCCTCCCTTTGAATCTGGGTTAACCCTGTGATTCCTTTGACCAATAGAATGCCATGGAAATATTGCTGAACAAATTCTGAAGCTAGGCCTGAGAGATCTACAGCCTCCATCTGCATGTTCTTGGAACACTCTAAGAAGTCAGTTGCCATGGACCCTGCTGGTAACCCACTACAACCTCATGGACAGAGAGGCCACGTGGAGAGCGAAGCTCCCAGCTCAATTAGCTGCACAGAAGCTATCTTGGACGTTCAGGTCCCATCTGAGCTTGCAGCTGAATACAACCCATGAGTGATCCCAGCTGACGCCATGTTTAGCGGGAGAAGGCTCTCTGAGCCCTGACAGAATTACTGACTCACAGAATTCTGAACAAATAAAATAACTAATGTTTTAAGCCACTAAGGTTCAGATAACTTTGTCATGAAGGAATCAGTAACTGAGACAGAAGTTTGATAAACTTGATAAACATTTACTGAAAAAATGAATGAGAAAGAACCACCTGGTTAGGGCACTGAATGCGATGATATTTCTTGATATCTGACTTCCATTTGTGTAGTACTTCCTGGCTGAAGGTAGGAAGCCCAGGGCGAGTATATTTTAACTACAAGACAAGAAATATTTTATTGGAGGAATCCAACTTCCAACCAAAATACCCCAAAAGGTTCATACCCAACTCTTTAGGTTATGTAATTCTGGAGTCTGACAAACATATTTTCATGTGCCAAAAATATTGTAGTATGTAAGACCCTTTAAATACAAATTTATCTGAAACTGGTAAGTATAACTGTCTGTTTTTTAATCTTAGAATAGTTTTGATTTTTAACAGAGGGCAGGAGAAGAGACTTTCAGATATAGCACTTCATCTACAGTTTTAAAAAGCTAGTGACAGAGCATTTACACAGTTAAAATACTCATTACGAAAAAGACAAAGATACAAATATGTACTGTAAAATATAGGTATACTTATAAATATGGTACATATATATACAACATATGCAACAGAAATATATGTAGATGGGGGAAAAGCTAGAAGGCTATACATCAAAATGTTAACAGTAGTCCTCTCTGGGTGGTAGAATTTTGAGTAGCTTTAATGATTTTTCCCTGCTTATCTGCATTTCTCCTTTTTCTTCAAAGGTGTCATGTTAATTTTTGGTATTTAAAAAATTCAGGGGCACCTGGGTGGCTCAGTCAATTGAGCATCCGACTTCGGCTCAGGTCGTGATCTCGTGGTTTGTGAGTTCGAGCCCCGTATCAGGCTCTGTGCTGACAGCTCATCAGAGCCTGGAGCCTGCTTTGTATTCTGTCTCCCTTCTGTCTCCCTCTGCCCCTCCCCTGCTCATGTTCTGTCTCTCTCTATTTTCTCTCTCAAAAATAAACATTTAAAAAAAACTCAAACAAAGAAATTAAGGTTCAACCTAAAACAAAGATGTGAGAGAACTTGGGGATGGAACACATGATTTTTACTTATACTGCGCAAGCAAAATTATTCCTCACACTTGCCTTCACATGCTTAACCCAAGTTAGTCTCTCTCTCTCTTTTCTTTAGATTTATTTATTTATTTATTTATTTATTTATTTATTTAGAGCCCGACGTGGGGCTCGAACTCACAACCCCAAGATCAAGAGTTACATGCTCCACCAATTGAGCCAGCCAGGTGCCCCTAAGTTAGTCTCTTCTTACAACTACTATAGTTTCCAGAAAAGAGACAGCTAGCACCTGTAGAGACAGTTCTTACAAAGTCCACCACAAGTAATAGCTGTATTTCCAGTGAGTAAACAATCCTCCTGCTTGGAAAATGGAAGTATCTGAAAAGAAGCTGATGCTCTTTCTGAGACAGAAAAACAGAACCAAAACCCAGAGGTAAGGGGAAATAAGGAAGGCAGCCTAAAGGAACTCTGCTAAATCTATAAGAGGAATCAGAGCACAGAGCTGGCTTTATTTATAAGCACCCCTCTCTTCTGCAGCTAGGGTATACAGGTCCATCTAAAATCCTTTTACAGTGATAAGAGAATATTTGCATAAACTATTATATTCATATAATAAACTATCATGTTTACGCAGCTGTGAAAAAAAGAAAGGATAATCTCTAAGAACACATATGGAGTGATTTCCAGGATACACTTTTAAGTGAAATAAAGCAAATTACAAAAGAGTATCTATGTGAGAAAGAAAAAGATGTACGAAAATATGCATGTATCTGGTCATCTAGCCCATAAAAATACAGGAAGGACAAAGCAGAAACTGAGTGTGGTGGTCTCTGCAGGGAGCAGGGTGGGGACAGGATGGAAACAAAAGGGTATTCAGAATGGGAAAGCTGGGAAGAGGGCAGTGACCCTTCTATAAGATGACCTTTTGTATGGGGTCTGACTTTTAGAACTATGGTAATGTTTCACATACCCCCCAAGAGAAATGACTAGTTTCAATTAAACAGGATGTAGGGGAACTCAAAATGTAAAGAAAAGTAACACATGAACCTAAGGATTACAAATGAGAAGCATAATGACGGGAGCGAGGGAGAAAGCCAATCTAAATAACCGTAAAATAATACTTTGAGGGACGCCCGGGAAGCTCAGTCAGTGGAGCATCTGACTTTGGCTCAGGTCGTGATCTCACAGTTCACGTTAGTGTGGAGCCTGCTTGGAATTCTCTTTCTCCCTCTCTCTCTGCCCCTCCCTCACTCTCTCTCTCTCTCCCTCTCTCAAAATAAATAGGTAAGTTAAAAAAATAAAATAAAACAGTACTTTGACTATATACTGTAAGGCTGAAGATGTAAAGAACGATATACAAATATTCTTCTACAGCTAATAAACCTGTTTTTACAGGGGTATGGCTTAATAATTGTAAAACTACTTTATGTTATACTAGGACTAAGCAAATAAATAAATATATTACAAACAGTGAGAGCTAGGTTTTCTTACTGTTAGAGAAAGGAGTTACAAATAAGCACAAAGGAAGGCAAGAATGAAACTTGTGGTGTTGGACTGGAAGTGAAGGTATCATGGCTTTAAATATGTATACAGACAGACATAAAAATGAACACAGAGTGTGTGTTTTCATCTACGAGTAGAAATACATATATATCCTAGTTCTAGCCACCAAGAGGGCCCAGAAGCAATGACACCCCAGCAGGAATGAGTACACCCAGCATTCAAATCTTGTTTTTTAAGTATATTCTCCAATAAAAGAAACCAGCATTCTTTAGAGAAATGGTTGATTCCAGAGCGGGGGAAGGGAATACACAAGATGACTCTACAGCACCTTATGTTGTCAAAGAGTACTCAAAAAAATGATAGAAGCATGTCAAAAAGGCACAGGTGCCCACTGCAAAGAGCTCTTGATGGCCAAATCTGGAACAATTTGAGCCAAAAAATGAATAATAATAATAGCACTGGATTATACACCTACAATAAAATATCCTTGAGTCCATACTGATATAAATAGATTAAGAGAAAAAAAAGACGTATTTTCTCACAGAATTTCAATTAATAATTTATGGAAGCAGTAATGGAAACACAAACCATCATTAGGCAAACAACCATAATAATAACTGTTGCAGGAAAGAATCACTGACGGATGCTACAGCAAGCGGGCAGAGGTATGATAAGACACAGGGTAGTTGCACAGCGTCACTATCCCCACAAAATGTTCACTAATTACAGAGAGGAAAACTGTAATTTTGCCTTGGAGAAAACTGGACAATACACCCTAATCAAGTGATCAAAGTGATCACTGGTAAAAAAGACACATCAACATCATATACCTCCTAATATGGTACATTGAAAAAGGCAAACACTGCTTCAGTGGTAATCTTGACAAAAACACATAACTTTCAATCTAATCTTGAGCAGGCACTAGACAAATCCATATTAGGGATATTCTACAAAACAACGAGCCTGTTCTCTTCAAAAGTGTCAAGAGCACAAAAGATCAATAAAGCCAGAAGGATGATAACAGATGGGAGGAGACTAAGGAGACACAGTAAAGAGAATTAAATGTGAGATCTTGATGGGATCCTATGTTATTGGTTATGTAAGATGTTGGCATTAGGGGAAGCCAGGTAAAGAGCATATGGGAACTCTGTACTAATTTTGCAAAGACTCGGTAAGTCTAAAATTATTTCCAAATAAAAAGATTTTTGAAAAAGGAATATAGGGGCGTCTCGGTGGCTCAGTCAGTTAAGCTTCTGACTCTTGATTTCAGCTCAGGTCATGGTCTCACGGTTTGTGAGTTCGAGCCCTGTGTTGGATTCTGTCTCTCCCTCTCTCTGCCCTTGCCCTGCTTATGTGCTCTCTCTCTCAAAATAAATGGAAACATTTAAAAGAAAGGAATATATATTTGTGAAACAAGAAAAAATATTTATTGGTCTCTGCCCTCAGTTCCTGCTAATACTCAGTCTCTGAACCTGGTTCCTGATAGAGAGTTCCTAAAACACCTACTAATTTTCTGAGTAATACCAGTATTTGGACAGAGTTCATAAATCCCTTGGAATTTCCTGGGTGATAGGAGTAGTATCTTTTGTTTTGATGAGGTAATACTCTGTGGGCTCCTCGGTGGGCTAGCCACTGGCAAAACCAAGCCTTGATTAGAAGCTTTGAACTTTCAGACACATTCCCCATTCTCTAGAGAGGGAAAGGGGCTAGGGATAGTTAATCAATCATGCCTATGTGATGAAGCTTCTATAAAAATCCCAAAATTATGGGGTTCAGAGAGTATATATATGCGCCAAGAGGGTGATACACCTCCAACTCCACAGGGATAGGAGCTCCTATGCTGGGGACTCTTCTAGACCTCACTCTGTATTTCTTCATCTGGTTGTTCATCTGCAGATTTTATTATATCCTTTATAACAAACCAGTAAACACGTTGCCCTGAGTTCTGTGAGCCATGCTAGCAAATTACCGAAACCAAGGAGGGGAGCATGGGAACCCCAATTTTTAGCCCAGTCAGTCAGAAGTACAGATGACAACCTGGGACTTGTGACTGGCAACTGAAATTGGAACAGTCCTGTGAGACTGAGCCCTTAACTTGTGGACCTGACACTAACTCCAGGTAGATAGTGTCAGGACTGAATTAAATTGTAGGACACGCAGGTGGTGTTAGAAAATTAGTCTGTGTGGGAAAAAAACCACACATCTGATGTCAGAAGTGTTAAGTGTGTAGTAGTATGTGAGTAAAAGAAAACACAAGAGTTTTTCCTAGAACATATTGCTTGTATTTGCATTAAAAAACACTGGAAGGACACACAAGAAACCAGTAAGAATGGTTACCATGGATACAGGCTAGAACAAGGATGGGGTGAGACTGAGATATCTCAATGTTTATTATCATTTTGACTTCTGAACAAGAATATATTATCTATTCCAATTAAATTTTTAGTTTAAAACAAAACAAAATAATAATACCTTTAACCTACACAATGTCAAACTATAAAACTGATGATTTTAGGAGAGTATCTGCTAGATAAGACTAGCAAACCTTATCAATCAGTTAACAAATATTTATGTCTAATTCCCTACCACCGATCAACACAGTGAAAGCAAACGGACTACAATATCGTAAGATACATACCACTGTACAAAATTCACATTTAAACTGAATTTAGATAACCACATACTTTAGCCTGTGTGGCAGGAAAAAAGTAGCAATGAGTCTGAAACAAAAAAGGATGCTCTGATACTCAAGAACAGGATCCAACTCCTTGGACACCAGTAGGACTGATTTTTAGACCAAATAAAAGGTATCCACTTCCATGAATTGACATTTTCTTATAATATATGACATTCCCCTCATGAGTCAAAGCCCTAGGCCAAATCTAAACTATCTTTCTTGATACCATGGAGAGTAATAGGTCCTTAGCTCTAACCTTAATCTTTACTCATATATCCTCCCAAGCCCTTCCCATGACTACCCCATAGTCATATACTCCTTATCTCCTCTTGGCCAAATATGTTCCTTTGGTCTATGATCTATTTTAAACCAAAGGCTTCTAAGCTAGATTCTGTAACCCTGAGAAGTACACTTGGGGCCATGGAAGGAATGATAAAAGTATCAAGGAGAAGGCCAAGTAGGCAAAGTTTTGGGCTCACTACCCCTAGTTACATAGAGAAACTCCATTTTTAATTTTTTTTTAATATTTATTTTTGAGAGAGAGAGAGAGAGAGAGAGAGAGAGAGAGAGACAGAGCATGAGCAGGGGAGAGGCAGAGAGAGAATGAGACACAGAATCCGAAGCAGCTCCAAGCTCTGAGCTATCAGCAGATAGCCCAACATGGGACTCAAACTCACAAACTGCAAGATCATGACCTTGGCTGAAGTTGGACACTTACCCAGCTGAGCCACCTAGGCACCCCAGCGACTCTATTTTAAGTTATTCTACATATTGGTGTTTTATATAATTTTCATTTGGAAAAAAAGAGTGGGTGAGGAGAGGAGTTCTGTTGCTAGAAAAACAAACTGAAATCATTTATCTAAACTAAATATAAACTACTACATACAAATTAACAAAGTGGAAACAGAGACTAACAAAAGACTAACAAAAAACTAACAAAGTGGAAACAAAGACTAACAAAAAAGACTAATCTGGGAATTCGGATTCCCTCCAGAAGCAGTTCAAAATTAAGAGGGTTCCTTAAGGAACTTCTGAAACAGACGGTCTCTCTAGGACCCATATGAATCCAAACACTGAAGCTGGATCAGACATACTCCATCTCTAAGGATTAAGAAGCAACATACTGATGAAGAAATTGTAGTTTATATACACAATGGAGTACTATGTGGCAATGAGAAAGAATGAAATATGGCCCTTTGTAGCAAGGTGGACGGAACTGGAGAGTGTGATGCTAAGTGAAATAAGCCATACAGAGAAAGACAGATACCATATGTTTTCACTCTTATGTGGATCCTGAGAAACTTAACAGGAACCCATGGGGAGGGGAAGGAA